CCGCGGGCGGCGGTCCAGCTGCCGGGGGCACCGCGCGCCGGGCCACCGCCGCGCACAGAAAGGCCGCTTGTTCCGCCGCCTTCGGCGGGGCGGGGCGGGGGCTCTGCTGGACTTTCCGAGCTGAGCACGGGGAGGGCAGACGGGGCCTTGGCGGGTGAGAGGCGAACCAGACCCTCCTCCTCCTCCATCTCTTCCTCCTCCTCCACCACCACCCTGACCAGCGAATGCCAGCTGAGGCCACCGGGCTGCAGGGCCTCTTCTGGGGGTGGACACCTTCTCCATCCCCGCTCTAGCCACTGGCCCCATCGGGGATCCGTCCCTCCTCCCTCCCACCTTCATCATCACTGCGGGGAAGCTCCCAGCGGGCAAGGCTAAGGACTTGAAATCCAGGGTCAAACGGTCTGCTCTGTGGGCAAGTCGCTGCACCTCGAGTTTCTCATCTGTAAAATGGGACTAATTCCACCTGCCTCCTAGGGCCCTTGTGGTGATCTGAGTTAATGCATGTAAAGTGCTCAGCCCAGACCCTGGTACACAGTAAGTGCTCAATAAATGCCAACTACACAGTGTAGTTCCTGAACCTTGGGTTAGATGGTCTGCTCTTCAGGCAAATGAATGAATAAGTGGACTCTCCTATAGCCCTTCCCTTGACTACTCTCACCCTCCCCTAGGAGGCCCCATTGCCCTGGCAGTGAGGAGGAGGAGCAGGTCCCCTCATTCAACAGCCTTCAAGACTCAAGACTCCGAGTTTGCAGCTGGTGAGTCACTCAGCAAATACTCCCTGAGCCCTCCTCTGCACCCGGCCCACCCAGAGCTCACAGTCCAGGGCTGGGCCCCACGGTAAGCTGCTGCTTCCCCTACTGCAAGTGGAGATGTGTTAGGAGACACCAAGACACTGGCCCTGTCCCCAGGACTCACTCTCCTCCCATAGAGAGAGAAATTATTCTCCTTGCCCCCTGCACCCAGGAAGGCCCCCAGAACCTTGAGGTTTTCTATTTAAAAGACTTGCAGGGAACAGGCACAGTGTGGGTGAGAGGGGAAAGGACAGCTAAGGACACAACAGGGTGCAGGAATCCTTCAGAAGCCTTTCAGGAACTGTTCTGCCTGGGCCCTGGGCCAGGGCTTGGTTAGCTCTATCTTCCCCGGGAACTGACTGGCCTGCATAGAGGGCTCTACAGTTTGCAAAGGGCCAGCACACAGGCAGGGGGAGGTGACACAGCAAAGGGTCCCCGCATTTCAGGCATGAAGACATTGAGACCTTCACACACAGCAATTACTTTTCTCTCAGGAGCCCGTCCCCAGCCCCCCTAACTGCTCCCACCGTGGACTCCTTTCTCCTCTCCAAACGCTTGGGTAGGTGAAGGAGCCCACAGGAGCCCCCTCCAGAGTTTGGAGCCTGGGCCGGGCAAGTGTGATTCCCTCACCCCTACAACTAACTCCCTTGGTCTTCAACTCTTAGAGGAGGGTCTAGCTTCACCCTGGCAGGATTCTCTCGGAAGCCAAGGCTGGGCCCCTTCTGCTCTGGGCCAGACCACAGAGTTTCCAGATGGGGGTGGCTAGTAGGCGTAGGGATGCAGCAGGACACTCCCAGATCCCTGGTCTGCCCCTGGTCCCTTGAGCAACAGCAGCCCAGGGCAGTGTGGGAAACTTACGGATCACAGGGCTCCCGAGGGACGGGTGCTGGGAGCATTCAGGCTGCCTGAGAAGGAAGGAAGCCCTTCCTTCCTAAGTGGTAGCAGCAGCCATGGGGCTCCCAGAGAGCTGGAGGGGGCTGGGGGGTAGGGGAACCAGGAGTGGGCCTGGGCCATGGAGGGGGTATGCCCAGTGCTAGGGCTGGGACCCAGGACTCCAGCCCCATTGAGTTGCTGCACCTCATGCTCAGCCTTGCTTGTCCATCTTTTCAGTAGGGATGACTCCTGGTGGGCCCTGCATACCCACTTGGCAGGGTGGTCCAGGGGCCTCCAATGTGCCAAGTTTCCCAGCCAGGCCTGGTCCCCAGGAGGCCCAAACAGTACTGGGACAGTGGGCCCTTGAGAAGGGCTGTGGGGGCCGCAGGGTTCCCACCGAAGACAAAGAGCCCAGTGTGGACTCCGGCCTCTCAGGCTGCAGCTGCCTTGTTGGCAAGAGCTGGAGGTGGGGGTGGTTAGTGGGGGTCATGTTCTTGAGGCCAGGGATGCAGCAGGACACCAGCTCCCTAGTCTGCCCCTGGTCCCTCAAGCAACAGCAGAATTTCAATGAACCTTCTTAACCTGCAAGTCCATGTCCAAGAATTTATCCTCTCCATTATAGCCCATGAATGGCCAAGGACAAGGGACAGTGAGGCCCATGATTATATCCTCAGCCTTGTGAACCTCCCAGGGTT